GGGAACAACATTTTGAAATTAAAGATATCCTTGATTCACGCACTCACCATGGATCCACACAATATTTAGTAGCTTGGAAACACCTTCCTTCTTCAGAAAATGAGTGGGTAGCCAAACAACACGTAAAAGCATCCACATTACTCCGTAAGTTCCACCAAAAATACCCTGATAAACCATCCTGAATTGCAAATGTAATGCATGATTTTTGGTTTTTTCCAGGTAGACCTATCTGTTTTTTAAGGAGGGCAGGATGTCAGATCCATGTATCTGTCATTTCTTCAGTGGAAGAAGAAAAGCGGGGGGGAGGCTGATAAAGAAATCCTTTCTTGATGTAACCTGAATATATTTAATCTTATATTGAATTTATATAACTCACACATGATACGATGGAGGGAGAAAAGCCAGATGGCCAGAACTATCACCTCTGAGAGGCAAAACCAGGAGATGAGAAGGTCATAAAAATTCCACAGTGAGATTGTACTTTGGGAATCTCTTGAATAGTTCGTTCTAACAAGAGGGGTGGGGAGGAATTAACATACTGGCTTTTGTTTCACTAAATACACATCGAGATAAGGGGAGGGGTTCTAAACTCCCTTATCTATGTCTGCATGCCTGAGAGACCTTAGATGCTGCTTTTAACCCCTACGTGAATTGTCTCATCTCAATAAAGGATTCCTTTTTGATACCTTTTGATATGTTTTCAGAAGTTCGTTCTAGCTGAGTGAATGGGATTCTGAAGCCTGACAAGTAGATTGTGGTCTACTTTGTCAAATGTCTTACTGAAATTTAAGTAAACTATGTCCATAGCATTTCCTCGACCTACTAATCTGTAAAAAAGAAACAATGGATATTGCTAGAAACAGACAAAAAGGAAAAAATAAAAAGGATGGTTTCAGGAAAAAAATTAAAAAGAGAGTTTCAAGAGAGGTTAGAAGTGACAAGAAGTATTACAATGACATTTCTAAAAACCCTGTAGATGGAAACGGACTTGGATAAATTATGAGTTTTCCAAAAGATCTCTGAACTCAGAAGGAAGTTTCAACCTCAAATTGATATTTTAAATATCTTCAGGAAGGCGTATACTGAAATTTTGTGCATGCACACACTTACACACACACACATACACCATAGAATGGGAACGTTTGTTCATTGCACAATTTCACATGCTGATAAAATCATGCTTGATCTCCTACATGTGAAGAACCAAGAAGTTCATACTGATTTTGAGAGGCCTGAAAGAACCACTGGAAGACTGAAAGGCCAGGCTGGGGTAGAATATTCTGGAGAAGGTCTGTCTACGTGATCACTACGACTTGACATTGACTTGATATCACATATCAGTCAATCGATCAATTATTGATTCCAGAAAAAATAAAAAAGGACTTAACTGTTTCTAAAAAGTAATTTCATAAAATAATTATTTTAATGTTAACAAGTTAAGAAGAGTCAACAACGGCCTTCCACAAGGTTCTGTACCGGCACCCACACTGTTCAATCTTTATATCTCAGATATGCCAGCTACAAGGGGACATAAATTTGGATATGCAGATGACCTGGCCCTAGCAGCGCAGGATAAAAACTTGGAAATATTGGACTGCTTCCTCTCTGAGGACCTGAAGTCCCTGGGAAAATTCTTTGCTGACTGGAGACTCATACCCAGTGTTAGCAAAACGGTGACCACCTGTTTCCATCTCAACAACAAACTTGCCAACGCCACCCCGAAAGCTTACCTGAAAGCTTACCTATTCCCTTATGATCCTCAACCCAAATACCTCAGAGTAACTTTGGATCGGACTCTGTCTTTAAGAAACACCTAGAGAACATGTCCGGTAAAATCAATACCAGGAACAACTTACTCCAGAAACTAAGAGGATCAAGATGGGGAGCCTCAGCCTCTACTCTCAGAATATCAGCACTAGGGTTGGTCTACTACTCCACAGCTGAATACTGTGCCCCTGTTTGGCTTAATAGCTGCCACACTAGCAAGATCGATGCTAGACTAAATGATACAATGAGGATCATAAGCAGTTGCATAAAATCTACTCCTACTTGCTGGCTCCCTGTCTTGAGCCACATTGCACCACCAGCTCTATGAAGGCAGGAAGCCTTAGTGAAGGAGTACAATAAAATTATGAGAAACTCACTTCTTCACACTGATCTTCATCTATCAATTGGCAGGCTTAAATCCAGGAAGCCCTCTCTGGCACTTGTTCAAAAGCTGTCTAACAACTTTGACATCAACTCACAGTGGAAAGCCAAATGGGCTGCTGAACGCTCAGGTACAGGCAGTTACATAGATGCTCCTACAAAAGGTGCCAGGTTTTGACCTTCCTCACCAAGCAATGGGCAACTCTGAACAGGATCCGCACCCAACATGGTGTCTTTCAGGACTGGGGTCTTGTCTCTACCCCTCAGTGTGACTGTGGTGCTCCTCAACAAAATAGTTTCTTTTGCTCAGCATAATTTAGGATCTTCAAAAGGCCCCTCTCTTCTATAATTCGATTGTACTTCTAGCAATAACAGCCGTTGAGTCTTTTCTGACTTCAATATTCAACTCTTTTGAGACTTTTGTAACAGCATGCAATAATTCTGTTGGAAATTTTATTGACTGAAGCAATATAAACGTAAACTGTAATAAAAGAAGCTAAGCAGTAACCTGGATATAAAATATTTCAAGAAGTGCTTGAGTGTACAAGACCAATGTAAGATTTAGTTCTTCTCATATTCTTAGCAATGAGATAGAGATGTGACAATTAAAAGGATAATTGAAAGAAGAAATAAGGTCATTTACTTAATTAATATAGTAGGCTCAACTGAAATAGCCATCTTCCTACAAACATGTTTCATCCCCAAGATGCTGATATTATAAAAGATTTTAGCACATCTTCAAATTATGTGCCAAGGAATCATAAAACAGATTGACATACCCTCTGAATCAGTCATGTCTGCTTCTCAAAAAGAGAATCTGCTTTTTCTGCTGCTAAAGCACTTTTAGAAGAAAGGTGCAGATAACAGCCATTTCTCCCTCCTAAATTAATATTATTGTTGTTGTTATTATTGTTGTTGTTATTGTTATTATGAGTATGGCAAATACATGGACTTATTGTAGTTCAAATGTTAATGTCCAGTCCACCCAGCCGTTCAAGGACAGGTGGTCTATGTTGAAAAATATCAGACATTGGGCCGGTGTGAGCTCTTGATGGACATTTGGACACAAAGCGTGTTTACAATTGCTTACTGTTGCCTACTTATTTTCACTTTTTCATAAATATTTTATAATAATTAACAGTCCAAGACTAATCACACAAAAACATATAATTCTAAAAGGAAAATATAAAATTATGAGAACATTCTAGAAGATCAGCTATCAATTAATAACACGAGGAAGAAACCAAACAGCGAGTAACAACTATAGCTATTGATAAAGAGTTTTGCCACCTTTATAGAGGTTTCTGAAGAATGATCACCCAAGAGATGGGTAATGACGTCTTGGTAACAATGGCAACTAAGAATTGTTAACAATTGGAAATATTAAATTTGATCACCACTGGGTGATGAACACTTTAAAAACACTTGTGAGATAGAGTCTATCTTTGTCAAATCTAAACATCATGTTTTGCTTTTATATGAGAGGCTTGTATATCCATTGTTCTAACCCAGTATCAAACCAGTACCTGCCTAGGTGAGGTAGCAGACTTCTTTAGGAACTCACTGCTCACCTCCATAGTATGAAGATAGAACTAGAGCAGGTGCCCCCAAACTTTCCCTGCTTCACTATACTCTGGTCAGTTCACAACAACTAGTGGGAATCCCATCTTGGCAGCTGAACATAGATACCCCTCACCCTTGTCACCTGAACACGTTCATGCTTTTGAGAAACACTAGGAGAGCAGCTTTAGTTGCCAGAGAGCTTGCAAGATATGCTTCAGCCCTGAGCGAGAGACTCTTCTTCTCAACAAAGGTCAGCTGGCTGGATTTAAAGTTGGATACATTTTTTCTGCAGTCATGGCAGTGATGAGTGTTGTGATGCTGGAGTTGGGTTGGAAGTGGCTGATAGAAGTCATTTTTTTTTTGGAAACACTGCAGTTACCGCTAGCTACCCTGATCAGTGCTTGTGTCTCCCACAATGACTAACCCCGAGAGACAAAAGGTTCTATGAAGAATTAGATGCCCAACTCTCAGTTTGCTTAGCAACTTTAATGCAATCATAGGTGCGTTTCTGCAGCCTGACGGGGAGTCGTTGGAGATATGGAGTGAAAAAGACTAACAGCAGTCCTACTCCTAGCTAGAACTGTTCAGCACACAACCTCATCACCAGTAACACTTTTCTGTTTGCCTACCTTAATAAGACCTCTTGGATGCACCTCTGCTCTAAGCTTGGTATTTTATTGATTATGTCATTGTCAGGAGAAAAGTAAGGCAGGATGTCAGAATAATGAAGGGCATATGTGCGGTGCTGACTGTTGGACAGGTTGCAGGCTAACTGTCTCTAAAATGAAGCTCCACATCAGACTCAAAAGATGACCAAAAGGAAGCAAGGCTATGAAAAGAATTAATCTAGTTAGATTGAAGAACCCCAGCGTGGCTTCAGCACTGGCTGAAGACTTAGTAACTAAGCTGGTTGACTTACATCTTGCTAGCTGTGCAAGTCTAGCTCTATCAGTGCAACAATTCCAGTGTCCACCTATTTGCCCAACATGTGGCAGGACATTCCATGCCCAAATTGGGCTGACCAGTCATCTTTGGACACATCACACTTAGTTTTAATGTAACTAATGGTGCTGAGGTCCTCATCTATGATGCTGGACAAACAACGCTAAATCTGCATGTAATTTTCTAAACCTTTATATTAGAGATTTATGATAAACCTATAAAATGTATTGATTCAAGATTTAATAGTGGTAGCAATACTGGGATGGTCAGCATTTGTGTCATTGAAGACTGTGGGTGAAAGAACTGTGCACCAAGAAAAAATATGGTAGACATAAATATGATCTCACCTGAGGCTGCTGGAGTATTGGTAGGAGTTGAAACAGCGGCTTGATTTCGAGCATGAGCAGGTATGAGGATTGAAGCCAGAGATGGATTACTTGACAATTCTAGAAGGAAGTTGAAGAAAGATCATGTATAACAAAGCACAATTCAATCATCTCATTTAGCAGACCTCCTGATGAATCCAGGAATGTAAGGAAGCTCTATGAAGAGTTCTGTGATAACCATTACTGCCATGGAAGAATAGACGAAAAAGATTAAATCCCATCCGTGCTGCCAAGCATACTGCTGTGATGCATATGGGAAGGACAGAAGAATGCCAATATTGTTTCTAACACTTAAAAAATACTTCACCTTTTTCTATCAAAACTAGATTATGTGCCACATTCCTTTTTTTAAAAAAAAAAACCTAAAACAGTCCATCATAAGCAAGAGACTAAAAATGTCACGAGAGCCAATTTGGTATAGTGGTTAAGGCATCAGGCTAGAAACTGGGAGACTTTGAGTTTTAGTCCACCATAGGCCCAAAGCCAACTAGGTGACGGTGGCCCAGCATTTTCAACCCTAGAAAAGAGGTAATTGCAAACCACTTCTGAAAAAATCTTGCCAAGAAAACTGTAGCAATTTATCCAGGCAGTTTCCAAGATTCAGAGATAGTTGAATTCAAGGGGAGAAAAAGAATGTGATAGGTAGAAATATTATTTAAAATAGTAAGAAAAAATGATTGGCAACAACATAAAAGTAAAGAAGTTCAAATTATATTGGTTTACCCTTGCGTAGTTATTGTTACAAATATGTTAGTGAAGTTACGAAAAAGAGCAGTTAGCTCCTGATGACTAGATGGGTAGGTTCATGTTGTCTCTTGGTAACAATACAAAAGTGTTTTGCCATTATCTTCTTCTTGCACATCTTTTTTATTTGCTTTCAGCCCTGGCATTGGCTCATAGATTCCCAGTTTTAATCCTTCTTAAACTTTTTAAAGATCAGTCAAGATCGGCTATGTGGCTCTGACATAACAGTGACAAGATTAATTTTCTCTATCCTGCATAACTGCATTTACACAATTCCCAAGGAGTTTCCAGAAATGGTTTGCCACTGCCTTATTCCAGGATGGGTTGGGTTTTTTTTCCAGTTTTACTAATCTAGCCAGCTAGATGGCGTTTCAAGATGATGTGCCATCTACAGTGGGTATAAAAAGTCTACATACCTCTGTTAAAATGCCAGGTTTTGAGAGGTAAAAAAAAAATCAGACCAAGACAAATCATTTCAGACTTTTTTCCACCTTTAATATAGCATATAAGCTATACAATTAAACTGAAAAGGAGTGAAGAATTACATTCACTTTTTGTACAAATAACCAAACAGAACTGCATAATAATAGTAAAGTCCTACACATACCTGGTCAGAGGCTTCTTGGCCTTTTGGTTAAGATCAAATGTATATTTACAGGCAACATTCCCAGCTATAAAGGATTTTTTAAAATGATCTTCCTACATTACTATATCAAAACATTTCTAATTAAAAAGTACTGGTTTTAGAAAGAGAAATATAATTTTTACTACTAAAAGTGGGCAGGAAAAATAATCTGAAAAGGGCTGGCCTCCCTTATAGTACTGAGAAGACACCATTTTAAAAAATGTTTCCTATGACAGAAACAAAGGAACTGGTTGGTTATTTTGTCTCTTCGACAAGTTTGGGCTACAGACATGATCCCCCAAAATATGAAACTAAATAATGATTCTATTTAACAATATTTAGCACTATTTGAAAATATATTTAATCCCATTGTGTGTGTATATGCTTCCTATTTTATATTTCAAAAATAATCTTCATTAAAAATTTAACTATTCATTGCTCTAACATACTTATTCATGTAATTATTGCACTGTGGACTATAACCTCATCTACATTCATTTATTAATAGTTCATTTATTAATAATCAACTAGGAAATGTGATAGAGATCACTTAGATTATGGATTCAATTACGTTTTACCTCATTTGTCTCTATCAATAATAAACTGGTTTTACACACACACACACACACACAAAAAAAAAAAATTGCAAATGTTTCCTTCTATTCCAACTCTCCAGTTTATGCTATGGAAAGAGTATTTTCTTTTTAAGTGCCCAACACTTTATCCATCATTTCATCCTAACTTCACTTGATAGGGTGCCATATTCTGGCATAATGTTTCAAAATTACCTTGAGTAGTGAAATTAAAGAGTGCAGGTTTCTCTCGACCACTTGGTAATTTGATGTTTGGGTCCCGTAATTCATCAAAGAAAGAATGTGCACATGCTTCCAGTGGAGTCAGGCGGGCAGTTGGGGTATATTCCAACAGACGGCTACATAGAGCTATTGCTTCTGGTGGAGTGCGGGGTCGGAAGACCTATGGGGAAAAAAAGAGAAAGTTTGACCATTTTGTTTTACTCTTATTAACAGACTGTGAGCCTGAACAATTAAGCTGATGCAGGTATTATTTTGTTTTTGGTGTTGTTGTTGTTTTTAAAGTTAACATCAGATTTTTACCAACTGGCTAAGGCAAAAATGCTTATTGGCAAGGAGCTAAATTGAATAAAGTTGAATTTACCAAATCCCTGAGGATATGATCGACATCCAGCACCAAGCTGAGGAAATTTAGGAACAAAGGAAATAATACCTTTAAAAACATAAATAATGCGGCTAGCTTATGCAGATGGGCTGGAAAAAAGGAAAAAAGCAAGTGATTGGGATATTTTGAGGACTGAGTGTTATATAATCCCATTTAAAACCTAAACACAAAACATAGATTTGGATTTATCAAACTGGTTTATGCTAATTTGTTAATAGTTTTAGTGGCTCTTTTAAATTACTTGACAAGTAATTAATTAAAATGCTTCATATTCTCAACATGCAATTATCACTTTTGCACTGCATATTTTCTTAGCAATTCAGGACTGCCTTAAATGTTAAACTTCCTGACAGTGAAAACAATTAATCAGTGGAATGGGTTGACTCCATAGATTGTGCTCTAGTCCTAAACTGCTTTTTCACTTATGTGGAATGTGGCCTATAGTCTTGGGAATATAAACAGTGGTTAAATCCTTTGTGTATTGTATGGTAATCTGAATTCACCGTTCCACAAAATGAAAGCAATAGTACATAGACTACATGCAAAATCAAAGACAGATCTGCATAAATATATTTTTAAAAGACACATTAAATACATGGAAAGTGTTTCAAAGATATTCTAGTCTCTAATTTAGGCAGGGAGAGACTGAGCCTAATTTTATATGCTACTATAAAAACAATTAGTTTTTACAAAGCAATCAAAATGTTAAAGGGAGAGTCCCAAACATCAGGCTAAAACAGAACAGAATAGAATTTAAATGAAAACCAAAAGAACCAAAATGCTAATCAATTTTTAACCACTATATAAAAATCCCAAACTAATGCTGAAGCAAGTATGCATTTTTTGACAAGGCAACGTTGATGTAACCGAGTGATGGGATGATGAGAGGAGAGTACAACTCTTCCTACTCCAATTCATCACTGGAAATTCCTCTCTCACTCACTCATATATTTAAACACCCAACCTCATGTAGTTTCTTTCTTCTAATTGCACTGAAATCCAGTTTTTGATTTGTAGGAGAAAACTGTATGAAAGGGAAAGTGCTCCCGATCCATACACTAGGCAATTTCCCTCTGTAAATGGACCTGAAAAAGCAGGATTTGAAATCCTGTGAATATTGTTTCATCTCACTTAGTTAGCCTTGCCTTACCTTATAACTTAAGCCAGGAGAGTGATGAGGCACTCTCAGCTGTTCTCCTAATTCTTTCATTCCAAGAGCGGCAATTGCTTTATAGACCTGATAATTTTCAGATGAAAATAATATGAGGGGAACTATTGCAATAGCAGCTTCTGAATAGAAAACACAATACAGTAGTAATTGTGCTTGGGCACACATTTTTAAAAGTGAATGGATAAGAGATTGAAAAATAGTCTTACACATTTGGTAACATACATGATGAGATGAACAGTGGGGGTAGAATTTAAGAGCAAAGAAATCAATGCATTGGTCCAAACTTTTCCTTTAGATATCCAATTTGGAAACTAATTTGGATTTTTATTCTAAAGTGATTCATTAGATGTGCACAGTTTTATTATTCTGAGATAATTTTGAGAGTTATGTATTAAAATGACATGGGGCATTAATGTCGATTATATTTTTAATAGCAATAGCAACAGAACTTAAACTTATGTACCACTCCATAGAGCTTTAGAGCATTCTCTGGGTGGTTTACAATGTCAGCATATTGCCCCCAACAATTTAGGTCTTTGTTTTACTGACCTTGGAAAGATGGAAAACTGACTCAATCTTAAATCACACCAAGATTGAATTTGAGATTGTGGGCAGAGTTAGCCTGCAATACTGCATTTTAACCACTGCACCATCAAAGCCCCTGGTCATTTAAAAAAATCTGCTTTCTGCTTTACACTCTATTTCCTTGTTTCAATTCTTTCTTGTGACTGTTATGAGCACATACAAATACTACAGAACAAGGAAATTTAAAGTATTTTTTCACTACAAGCCCTGGCTGAAATGTATGATCTCTCTTTGAAACATAGAAGAGTATGCGGATTTGGGAATTTTCTACTGAGGATGCAATTGTTGCCTTTTTAAATTTAATCAAAAAGTGAAATCTGTATGTTTCAAATTTATGTTGGGAGTTTGTGTAGTAAGACTGATCTTTTTTTTCCCAAGGGAAAACAAACCTCTTAACCAGATAATTATTCTGAATGACATTTCAGTACATGATTACTAGATTTTGTTCAATCTCTAAAGGTGGTACGAAACGAAAGGCGATGGATGTGATGGAAGCAAGGATGCTTTGTATGAGGACAGAAATGAATGGAAGACTATGGAAAATTAGTTTTAGCTACATTCCCTTTTCTTACCTTATGCCATATCTCTTTTGGCATATTTTCATGCCTTTTTTGTGATCTATAAAATGTTCACCCATAATTTTGAACACATTACCCACACAGTATCTTTGTCCCAATATGAAATTCCAAGTGAAATTCAATCTACTGATTACAAAGGGATATTTGTAAAGAAACACATTTAATCTAATATCCGCCAGATCTTTTAGAATATGTCTTATCATCTCTAATTATGACAATTTTTAACTTGCTTTTCTTTATTTTGAGGGAAACTATTAACATAGCATTCACTAATAAGCTAGCAGAAATTGTTCTCATATATCTCCACATGTTCTATAATTAAAATTGAAGCAGCCAATATAATTGCAAGCATAATCAGGGGTCTATTTTTTTTTTTTTTTTTTTGGAAACTTGAAATGAGTCATGAGATGTTTGCATAAATGTTGAAAAATGTAAATGTTACTTCTATTCCCAAACATCTATGTTACAATAGGAAGAGAATATTAGCTGGACTGCTCCTTGGGGTCTAATAACTTGGTGTAAATTCTAATTTTGTTTCTATTTTCCCAGCAATTAACCTGATGATATGGAAAAAAAATTATATACATACCCGTACTCCTGAGGTGAAATGTCCTGTTCCTGACGAGTCCTAAGGATGATAATGCAGTGAAATAATCCAAACAGGGGGAGTCAATCCAAAAGAATAGTCCAGCAAGGAAAAATATATCCAATATTATAAGAAATCCAAAGTGATGGGGAAATATTAAATGTTTAATACAATTAGAAATTTTAAACACCAGCAAGTCCAAACTCAAAAAATTAATAATAATTTTGCAAAGCTGAGGCATAATATAGAAACATTTTATTTTTAATGCATGTTCCAATGCCAGCAATTTTACTAAAAAGTAACAAAAATATGAAATCAAATGTCCGTACAAAAGTAAAATTATATTGAATTTTCAAAACTAAACTATAGATCTCCTTCCTATCTTGGAAAGAGATAGACACAGGAAGGAGCATGAGACATGCAATCATGCACAGACTCATTTTTTCCTGATTATTTATCCTAAAAGCACAACTGAAAAGTGTTCTGATGTAACACTTCTAAAAGAGAATCATTAAGTTTCTCATTTCTAAGATGACCGCTTTAGATGTCTATAAGCTACACCAGGCCACCGCGGATTATTCTTCATCTTGGATTGACTTCCCCGCCAATGGATTTTTTAGCATTTATATTTTTAGCTGATATTTCATTAGGATGCTTCAGGAACTGGACATGACACTTCAGGAGTGATGGTAGGATCTAACTTACTTTCCCCCTTTATTGTGGTTTCCTTCCTTATGCCCTCAGTCATTTATAAGTGCAGGGGATTTATGTTTTTCTTTTTAAGAGCAACTGATGATGACAGAAAGACACTGCATTCTTTATCTCTTCTCACTTCAATCTGTTCTGATGCTTTATTCACCCACTAAGAACTACTTAACAACATACAAACAAACAACATTAAAAGCAAGGGACTGTCACAGTTACAGGTCAAGCAGTCAATAATACAGTTTGCCAACACTTAAGCACAATGGGGCTACCAAAACAAGGGATGTTTTCAGCATTCTATTGTGCTTATGTGTCAAAGGACATCTTGTAAAGTTCACTGTTAGCTGTGAACTGCCCTCACTATTATGTTTTGAAGAGAATAATTACTGTTTTTCATGTAGTTTTCAGTGAGGGAATTGCTTGCATAAATAATCCGCGGATTAGTTTTTAGTCTGCGGACTAAAACTTAGCACTTGGGTCTAAAAGCCGGCCCGTCGCAATGAAATCTATTGAAATCTGAAGCAATCTTGACCAAGGAAAGGAGAAGCTGACAACACAAAGAATAATGCAAGTGGGCAGACTAACCTTTAGTATGCAGACTAAATACGGCCAAGTAAATGCACAGGAAAGCCACAAGCAGAAAACTAAAATTAAAGTGACACGTGTGAATGCTGACTAGAACTATATGATTTCAATTATATATTGGAAATTATATTTTACTATAACCATGGATAGTATTTTAATTAATATGCTCAGTTTACTTATTAATATAGTATATTAAATGACATAAAATGCCATGCTGGCGGGGAGGGGAGACCTATCATGAATATAGCCATGTAATATATGTCTGTTGAAAGTTCCAACTTTCTCCAGGATAAGCCATTTCATTTTCTTCTGGAGCCACACAGGAATTACCATTTTGTAGCCCTGAAACATGTTCAATTTGCACTGCACTGTTATGGAGAGGAGAGTTCTATCCTCATTTATGCTCTGTTTCTGCCTAGTTATCTCATTCCCACATTGATATTTAGATATATTTAGTACATTAAACCTAGTACTGTTTTAGGGTTTTTTTTATAATCAATTTCAAAAAATCTGACATAATTGTCCATTAAAATTTAGGAATTATATTCATGATTTTATTTGGCCATGATTTGCACTGTGTGTCTTGGAGGCAAAATATTAGTGAGCATCTATAAGATTTTTAAAAGTGGTACATTTTCCAAGTTTAATATAAATTTCTACAACTTTGTCCCACATGCCACATGCTCTACCACCTGCAGTTAAGGATACAGCACACTGGAGAACAAGTATCATAGAATTTTACTTGGCTGTAATAGAAATATTGTATTCAGCAATAACTCTGTGTAGGTTTTTTTTTTTAAAGTGAAACTGGAACTGCTCGTTAAAGGTATGGAACAGCCACTCAAAAGTTGTTCTCTGAAACTCTGCTGGAAAATCCTAGCTGCTGCTCTGTGTTGCAGGAGTAGTGATATGTAGTTAACTGAGAATATGAATGAAGCTACAATATGATGCTAAGAATTTTGACAGATGTGGCCTATTGAAGTGCAATATGAAAGAAAACAGCAGCTTAACAGCAGTTAAGACATAGTAGTCTTAACATAGAAGAGAGAAAGGAGAGAGGCAATGAATCAAAAGTCAAGGAATAAAGCACAATGTACATACATTCTGCATGAACCCAATCCTACCCAGTGTTCTGATCATGGAACTATACTGCATTCAGCAAGTGGTTGAGAATTCTTTCATTTATAAAAAATGAAAATTTTAAACCATGAGTTCAAAAAGTGCCAAAACAAGATTAGCCAAAGGACTTTCTTTTATGTTAAAAAAAGTTTTATTTGGGGGTGAGGAGAGTCAATAAAAGTTATTTTTTTAACAAGGACATGTGGAAAATGTACTAGTGATACTACACATTTATAAAAAGAAGCCAAAATTAGATTTTTAAAGATTTTTTTCCTTGAAACAATTGTGCAACTATTGAATATTTATAAAAAAACATATATACTTGCTTTTCAGGGAATAGCTTCATAAAGTTATTGGCAGTCCAATCCTACATTTATTTTACAATGTCTTTATCTTACCATTATTATGTGACATCATTTACTTTATTAGTGTCAACATATATTTTAAGTCTTTTTAGGCAATCATATCTCAGATTCTATAGTTTTTTTTTATTTAAGCTGCTGTATATTTAATGTGCACTGCATATAATGAACACGGTACTGAATTTTAAATCAATGAATTAAAATAACTGAAAATCAGTTATTACAAACTCTTGAATTGGCTACTTGTTGATATAAATACACTTGCAAACTCTTCAAAACTAATGTGACTCATTTATTTGATTTTTTTCTTAGGTTTTTTTAGTATGTTTTTTTCAGTTTGCTCTAATGTAACTGTTCACTATATACATCAGAACAGAACATTAATTCTTCCCATTAAAAGCTGGAACTCAAATCTCCAATAAAAAAGGAATACATTATTAATCTATTGTATGCTGTATATTTTTTCTTAACCAAAACAAGCAAAGAAGAAAACTGTTGTGAATCAAGCTAAAACTCTGGTACAGCACAAAACATATTAAAAACTCACTTCACTAGATCAAGAAACTAAGATATATAAGAATAAAATCTTACCACTAATTGCTTTCCATTGAGAAAACTGTCAACAAACCCATGGGTGGTAGTGAGAAGAAAATAAATAAAATGATACAAGTCCCATTTGTGGATTGTTGATCAAAGCTTTTGAACACTATCCAAGTAGCATTAATTTTACTGCTCTATTAACTATCCTTATGAAATGGAAGGTCTTCACTTCTAGCTTTAGTCTCCAATCAGATGCCAATGGAATAGAGCCAAGAATAGTGACACAAGAACAGTGCAAAATAGCATAGTTTTGACTGCTGAAAGCAGCTGCATGAAAAAATATGTTTTATTCCTGCTTAGCAAAACAAATCACTTTATTCTGAAAAAAATGTCTCTTGTCCTCTGGCAAATCGGAGAGGAAAGGTTATATTTCTGCTATATATATATGCAAATACATAAACCAAAAATTGTAATTTTCAGTCAGGCTTCAATGTTTGTCATGCACAAGGAATTGCTTGCTGTCTTCATGGCCAAAACCACAGAAATGATCTCAGTCTGGTATTTGCAAACCTTTTCAAAGTTGCAGAACCTATTCTTGTTTGTTTTTTTTAAGTGAAATTCCTGTTTCCTGCCTCTCAGAGTGATGAATCATCATGAGCACAACTGCCTTACCTGGAGAGAATGAGCATCTGAATATCAGCTGCTAAACACTGCATTTTCCAATGCACCTTGAAAAATTATATTTATTTTTTTAAATAGTAATTAGTATCTCATTGCACCCTGTAAAATTTGTTCAGTTAATTAATTCAATTTAGGCACTGCCTGACTTCAACTGACTTCAACTGTTCACAATAAATTTACATGCATACACTTAGGTAAAGCAGACCTGCTATGCTTAGAGTTGATATGTGATAATCATTTTAGATTTCACATTATATTCCATGATGTAACTCCTACAGGTGTTAGAAGTCATATAACCTTTTTGAAATGTGAATTAACTTGACCAACCCATGAACAAGCTAGCTAATTTGGGACATATTCATGAATATTGTCAGAGAACAAATAAAATTAAATAAAAGTTCTAAAAAATCATCCTGAAGAACCTTTTTTTCTGAATCTTCATCTTGTTAGGTATTAGTTAGCATGGCAAGAACACATCCTCCAATTGGTAAAGTATATATATGCTACTATAAAACATAAAAAAAGGACAGAACATGTTTGATAAATTATTTTTTAAAGTTTGCAAGTATATTTGTATTAGACAAAGCACCTTCAAGAATTCATAACTGTTATCCATGTAGTATTGCTTATTTTGGCTAAAACTCCTTGCTATTATTTATTATTTATAATATTTATATTATTAATATAAATATTAATACAATACACAAATACATGTATCACATAATTTTAACAATTTAATATACTATTTTTTATATTAATAATCAACAATAATATTAATAATTAATAATCCTTGCAAATGTTTGAATTTAAAATCAAATTTCTCTATGGCCAAGCTCAATTTGTTTCTGTTGTTCCTGGGAAAATATAACTGACAAATAGACTAGTAACCACTGCAAAAAGGAGCTGATAAAGTATTAGAAGGTACAACTGGACCTCATAGGACTAAAGTAATTTTATTTTGTTAATATTAGATATAATTTTATAAATGTATATATAATTTTAAATTTGTATATGTAATTATTTATACATATAAATATATACTTTATATATTCTAATTTTAGATTTTTTTAAATTGAATTTCTTCCATCTTCCCAAGTCATAGAAAGTTATCGTGTTACAATGAGTCTCTCTGTGTTACAGGACTGTCCTTCCTTGTTAACATTTCTATACCAAAAAGTCATCTTCATTACAACCTTCAAGATTCGGTTCACCAGGCACTCCAATACAGTCCTTAATTTAACTTACCCGATCATTTCCCAAACATACCAACATTTTTGCATTATGACCATATTAAAAAGCTCTCATAATTCTTAAGTTTAAAAAAATTCATATTGGTCTGAAAATAAACAAGAATATACTTTTTCTTCCTTCCTCTGGGTAAAGAAGTTACCAGGAATGGATCAAAAGCAACGAAGACATTCCACTTACATGTCTGTTATCTTAGAACAATGCTGGGGGCAATTTCCCTCAATATGGGCTCATATTTAACTTTTTTTTCTTTGGCTCCAAAGGTTTCAGGAGACATGTTAGTGACATGGCAAATTCTATGTACCATGAATTAACTCAAAGCCTTTTAAAAATATTTTCGAGGGGAAGGAGCTCTTCAAATAAATACATATATTAAACATACCAGAGTATTAAGCACATTTAAGTGTGAGCATTTTTATAATGGAGGCAATCTACCAAAAGTTTGCCATTTTGGCATTGTTCAAAAAGTTTTATACAAGCCTACATATTCATTCTCATGCTACTTACTAAAGTTTATGATGTGACTTTTCTTTGTTTAGAGTGTATGCAAGAATACATCAAATAAGATAATCTTAAATGAGGAGCCTTAGAGAAGAGTCTTAGAAAAGAACCACCAGTCTTTGAAAGGAAATCTGGGGTACAGAAGGAAAGACATGATCTAGCCAATAGCATGGAAAATTACAAAAGAAACAACTCTTTCTGTATGATTTAAAATTATAATTGAGAAAGCAAAGAGTTAGTGAAATCAAGAAAATGTCTTGATTTCCAAAACTGGACTAATTTCTAAAGCTTACATAGAAGCTAGTCCGAAGAGCATAAAATAATGAATCATTTCATCATTTATAAGCCAAGAAACAAATTTGAGCATCATGTCTGATTCAGAATGCTGTCTCACAGAAAAGAAGATTCTATATGCAACATTCCATCTTCTGCCAGCACATTTCAGTATACTATATATTTTTCTTAAGATTAGTCATTTACTGTAAACTGTGTACACAATTATTAGGCAAGTATTTTGACCATATCATCCTTTGTATGCACATTTTCCAAGCTGTATAAATTTAAATGCTTAGTGGATATAAGCATAGTAGGTTAATAAGTTGTTTATTATTCTCATTTTAACAGATGCAAATAAACAAGTGAGATGGGCAAATTTTTGTTTTTAATTTAGCTGCTCTAATTCTGCACATTAACAGTTGCCCAATAATTGTGTACACATAGATATTCTCCTAAGAAAGCCAAAAGTTCACTTTTACTTTCTTAAATATTCAGGTTTGAGGTTTATTAACATTTTGGATTGACCGAGAGCACTGTAGTTATACAATAATAAAATTAATTCTCCAAAATACAATTTGCCTAATAACTGTGCACACAGTGTATGTATGCGTTAAGAACATTCATTTCTTTTCCTTTCTTTTGTAATCACTAAAAATCAACTAAAAAGTGCATGAATGTGTTTTAGTTCAGACTGGCTGCAATGTCGTGCCTTAGGCTTCCGATTTCTCAAAATAATCTAATGGTTTTATCAAAAAGATTTATCATTTTAAGATCTCAGGTGCAAACAGACAATGAGGTAATTAGTATCATCATCAAGATCTAGTCTAATATAACACAAGTAATAAAATTTAAACTTCATTATTCCTAAAAGTCAGTAAGAAAGAGACTCAAACTGAAATATGTTAAGATTACTGACAAGATCTTTTTGGGGTTCAGAAATATTGCTTCCAAATGGTTAGGTCAACCAAGTAAGCTCTTCTATTAATGTTAATGGAAAAAGTTCAGAGAAGAGCAACTAAAATGATCAAAGGCCTGGAGGCTAAACCATATGAAGAACGGCTGCAGGTTTGAATTAAGGAGAAACTTCTTAATAGTGAAGACAATTAACCAGTGGAACAGCCTGCCTCTAGAAATCATACGCGCTCCATCACTGGAGGTTTTTAAGAAGAGACTGGACAATGTCCTATGGCACGCATGCCGGAAGTGACACACAGAGCCATCTCTGCCCGCAAACGAGTCATCGCCCCAGCTCAGTTCCACTGTGTATGCGCGTGGACCTCCTGCCAGCCGATTGTTGGGTATCTGCTGTGCATGCATGGGTGTGGCACATGTGGGAGGGTTGTGTACGCATGCGCAGGGGGCGGGGAGCGTGAGGGGGTCATGTGTGCATCCGCAGGGGGCAGGGGGAGCATGGGGGGTCCCACCACATACAGAGGGGGGCAGGGGGAGCGCATGCACAGGGGCGTGCGTGTGCATTGCATTATGGGTGCAAGCATGTGCGCACACGCACTTTCGGCATGCAACGACAAAAAGGTTAGCCATCACTGGTATAGGTTCTCCTGTTTGAGCAGGGGACTGGACTAGAAGACCTCCAAGATCCCTTCCAGCTCTGCTGTTCTGTTCTATTCTATTCTATTCTTTGTTCCTTTCAAAAGATTACACAGAACTTGACTGAGGTTCAGCAACACAACTGTCCACCTAGTTGATTGTTCTCATATCATCCTATAGCTTCAACAATCTTTACACTATATCCCTTGCCAGCAAGTAAACTTTGTTACAATTGTAAGGTGTCCTCAAACTGCAAATATGAGTCTACAATCAGAATAAAAGCTACTGTGAAACTGCAAACTTCAATCTATGAGGAAGAATCTCCTGTGAAAGGGAAGGCCTTGCCCGCTTTTTCAACAAGAGAGAAATAAACTTCAAAAAGATTAGTTTCTTGTTCTTGTAAAAAAGGACAATCTGATTTAACTGCTATATGGAAGAAAGAGAACTCTGTATTATGCTTTTGACTGGAGATAAAACTGGTAAGTTGCATGGACGTGAATAGTTGTGTTTTTTTTATTGCTCAACTAGATTTTTGTAAACCTTTAACACTGTCTGTTTAGCCTCTAAGGAATATAGGGAGTGTAGCTGAAATCTTCAATGTTTTCATTTTTTAGGAAGAGTTTGGGCTGAAAATATGGGCTTAAAATTGTACCTTTTTATTTTTGCAAAATCTCAGTGAAAACATCAAATAGCACTGAAGTGGATTTTCAAAAACCAAGATAAGAGTGTGGCCACAGCCTGTGACTGGCCATCTCCATTCCATTCCATTTTGATTGCAGATGAGAAGAAAAATCTGCATATTTCAGTCATATCAACGAAAGTATTATTCTGAATATAGATTAGCAATTTATGGAACTATTACATAATATAATGTGATAGTTTTGTTTATTGCTTGTGAAAATAAATACAGACCTCAGTGTTGAATATGCCCCGTCACACATACACACACAACCATTTCAGACTCACCTTAGTCCATGGATGTGCTTTAATCTGAGGAAATTTAAATTCTGTATAATTTGGATTCATTTCTCTAATTTGTTCTCTTGTGGGAGTTCCAAGGACCTGGAAAATAAAAAGGATGAACTATTAAACATTTCTTCAAGAAAGGGATCATTACCCTTAACACACAGTAAATTCACTGAAAAAAATACAAAAAAATACAAAAAATACAATCCAGTATGGTATGTATTTTAGTTTCCTTGAGCCTGTGTGCAGTATCAGAACTTTTTGGTGCAAAACAAAAGGCAAAAACTGGTTTTCAAAGTAAACCAAGCCAACTAACCAAACAAACAAACAAAAATTACAGGAATCTTAAGTCACAGCCATGTTCAGACTTGTACAGTACTGATGAACTTTTAAATTGTCTTTTATGAATTCATAGACTTGGGTTTTGACTACACTGAACCTATTCAAAAACTTTTATTGCTTCCGGATTTCCTGACAGAAATCCTTACATTAACCATATCACATATGATAAAAAAAAGGCAGATAAAATGTCCATTCCCTAGTGGAATGTGGTAGAAAGGAAATATCTGGATGAAAGGCACTTTATCCCAATAAAGGTTAAGGAGCTGTTGATCCTAATGCAATTCATATAACTCTCCCTCTTGGCAGGCTGATATCATGGCTATTGAAAGTCTGGTATTGCAAAGATGAATGTGAGCATTAGCCACCAGTCTGAAAAGCTTTGAAAATCAAATAGGATCACAAAAAAATAAGCTGGGACAAGTAACAATGTAGGTGACTAAAATGGACGAAATATTTTATAAAATGTGAATTAGAAAAACAGAGAGATAGTCACAAAGTGCATCTTTATGAAAGTTACAATGCCAAAACATCATGAACCTGAAACTCAAGAGGCCAAAATGCTTGTTTTTTTAGTCTTGAAAGGACTGGATTTAGCTGAGTATTTTAGCTTAAATACTAAATTTAGCAGAATAAAAGTGTTAGAGGATTTCGGACAGGGTATAGGAACCCCATCTACCTTACTCCTAAGGAAAAATAGGATTGAATCCTCCAAAGATCTAGGCATTATGTCTGCCTCTGATTGAGGAATATTAACTCAGAATGTTTCAATAGGTGAGGATAATCATGTAAGCCAATTATAATAGTGTAGCAACCCATGGCTACTATGGTGACCATTAGATAAGAAAGAGGCATATTTGCAAAGACTATCTTCAGCAGAAGGGGATTAGTAGAAGACCATGCAGAAACCAAGACAATGTTGTCTGGAACCTTGGAATATATTCTGCCTTTGCATACAAAAACAGAGTTATTTTTTCCCAAAATGCAAACAATCTTGGGCTGCTCCAGACATATTTATTGATTGTCACAGTGGAACACTGTCCCGTTCATGGGAACTGCCAGAATAAAAATTGAATGTAAACACCAATGAATTGGGGGGGAGGGTTTAAATGAAAACACCAATGCTATATTTGCACAGTGAAAGTGGAGTGCATTTTGTGTTTATATACCAATTAACCATAGCATTGCCTAATTTATTCCACAGTTTGACTTTGGAGAATGTCCTTGAATGTTGAATCAAATTTTCAGTTTGTTGATCTATGGTGGATTTATTATAGAACAAATACTTTGGATGTGAAGGAATGAAGTATATTTTTCTATAATAGGAAACATTTTTTTTTTCTTGCAAGATCATGGGGAAGGGAAACCAAAACAGTTGGGAGGCATACTGTGATAATTCTCTACAGATAAAATATATCAGCATATACTTGCTGAATACACAATCAGGATTAAAAACATAGTTAAAAGCAGCAATATTCCTATGAGGTTGGAATTATAACTAATAGAATTAGTAATAATAGAGAACTATTTTGACAAATGAGGTTATTATAACAAGTCAGCCCCTAGTTTGAAGAAACATCAAGTTTTCATCAACTTGCTATAGGCCAGAAGGGAAAGGGCAGATTACACTTTGGATAAATGCCATCAGAAATGGCATCGAGAGGGGAGGGGAGGAAACACTGAAAAGTACACTTATTTAGCCCCTAAAAATGCCAATCGTTAACTGAGAAGATATATAGAAGCCTGACCCTAATCCTGCTAGAACCTATAGGGAAGGACAGGGAATGAGATGGTCTCAGATACCAGGCTCTGAACATGAAGGGCTTGAAAGATAACAAGCATTATTATCTTTAATAATAATTATTATTATTAATATTAATAAATAAGAATTTATTTATAAAATGTATATCTTATAATATACCCATTTCACTATCCAGAGTGACTCAGGGTTACTTACAATAGCATAAAAGCATAAATATAAGCATTAGAATTAACAATTAAATAAAAGGTTAAAACCAAGAGCACAGACGGGATGGGCTTAGATGTTTGTCTCTCACTCAATCAGCCACCTCCAGCATAGCCACGCCCAATCAGTACCCCAAGCCAATGACAGTATCAGGTTTTAAGGTCCTTCCAGGATGGTAGAGGCAGATTTCTTCTCTGGAGGCAAGATGTTCCAGAGGGTGTGGGCCACAGCAGAGAAAGTAATTCTTCTTGGCTCCACTAGCTGAAATTCCTGACCCCATTAAATCTGAAGTTCTTCTACTTAACTGAAGTTCTTCAATTAAGTTCTTCTACTGTTGTGAGTGGGGTGGGCCTAACCAAGATTTTCTTTTGGACCCAAAAGCAAACTGGCAACCAATCCAGCTGTTGTAAAAGCAGTGTTACATGCACCACCCTAGGAGCCTCCAAAACTGCCCGCATTGCTGTACTCTGTGTTCCAGTTGTAGTTTCCCAATATTTTTCAAGAATAGCCCCATGTAGACCGCACTGCAGTAATCCAACCAAGCAATGATGGGGTATGAGTGACTGAGGGCTGGGTTTCACGATCCAGGAAAGGGTGCAACTGGTATACAACACAAAGTTGCATGAAAATTCTGCTAAGCAGAATTGCCACCTGCGCTTCAAGCAGGAGTCAGAATTGCATCCAGAAGCCAAAGAGCAACCAGTACAATTCTTGGAATAAATGTATTTCATGGATACTTAGAGGAGCACTCATCACCACATGAGCTACCATATTCTAGATGAACTACACCTTCTAAATACACTTCTAGGGCAACACCATGTTCCGTAGTATAATAGTCCAACCAAAGTGACGAAGGTATAAGACAATGAGTTAATCCCTTCTATTCCAGCAAATGGTTCAATTAGTGCACTACACTGAGCTGAGCAAATACTCTTAGCAATAGCTAGTACCCGCTACTTGAGCAGGAGCTGTGGGAATATAAAAGGACCCCCAAATTGTGAACTGATTCCACCTGAAAGAGTGCTACCTCATACAGAGTTAATGATGGAATCACTTTGGAAGCAAGCAGACTTCAAACACAAACATGTTTCCCTCTTGTAAATAATCTTCCTCACTGTAGAATAATGGACTCTAAATTGTTTGGAAATGCCCTTATAAAACCAGATTGATGAGCAGCAACAATTATTCTCTAAGATCAATGCTGATGTCTTTACTCTTCGCATTGTGTTAACACACATCTCAGTACTGGAGTCTTAAAACCTAGGCTTTATAAGAGGAAGTCACATTTGCTGATAATCAATTTATCAAGACCACTTGATTAGCAGTACTCAGCTAACCTACTCAGCCTCTTCCTACTTATGGAAGCAGTAAGGGTGTATGCGTGGCTTACACATGGCTTTTGGTTTTCTTTTTGTAAAATAAATGATGACATGGTGAACCTTTGAAAGGCTAGTGCTGGCCCACCTGAAAACCATCACGGATCCGCTGTTAGACTCCTTGCAATTTGCCTACTGAGCAAATAGATCATCAGATGATGCTGTTAATATGACTCTGAACTACATCCTACAACACCTCCAAAGACTTATGCAAGGGTCCTCTTTGTAGACTTTAGTTCAGCATTCAATACCATCATTCCATATATTTTTGTACCTAAACTAAATCAGCTAGCTGTACCTGACCACACTTGTGACCATAAGCTTTCTAACAGACAGATGAGGAACAATTTTATTCAACAAGACAGACATGGCATTGAAAATGAACCCACAAATGACAGGTTACAAGAAGGACATGGAAAGAAATCACATTGGACATACAAATCAAAAAAGGACTTTCTGTTGACATTAGGCCTGAAAAAATGATGCTTTATGGCTTGTCTATAAATAGGATATGAGATAAAAAGATAATTGGTTGTAAATTAACTAAAAGGGGGTAAAGAGTTATAACAATGTTTCTACTTGATGTGATAAAGGCTGGAAGTAACTTCTTTCTTTCTCTTTTCTTCTATTGTAATTGAAATCCTTAATAAAAATTACACACATACATGCATGTGCATGCACACGTGCAGATGCGCACACACATACAAAAAGATCAAATAGCCTGTTCCTGAATATAGTGTCAGAAAAAAATGGGTAGAATCACAGCTGCAGGTACATTTCAAACTAATTTCAATTAGCATTTCCTTTAAGATATGGCACTGAAACTGCTTTGGCTGTCCTGGTGGATGACCTATGTCAGAGACTACATTGGAGAAGGAGAATGGGATACTACTCATTTTTCTGGATGTCAATACTAAACCACATGCCACTTATTGTTACTATAAGGTGTTTTGTGATTTATGTCCCATAGTATCTCTCTCCTCCAG